TGTGTGTGTGTGTGTGTGTGTGTGTGTGTGTGTGTGTGTGTGTGTGTGTGTGTGTGTGTGTTTGCCACACCTCTGCCGTCAGGCCTGGTATAATGGGTGGGATTAATTGGGTCTCTCTCTCTCTCTCTCTCTGTGTGTGTGTGTGTGTGTGTGTGTGTGTGTGTGTGTGTGTGTGTGTTTGCCACACCTCTACCGTCAAGACTGGTATAATGGGTGGGACTAATTGGGTGGTTCCAGAGATATCTTCAATGCCATCCATCAGCACAAGCGATGCACTCACCAGAGCCGGTCCTGTCAATGTCCGCCTCCCTCTTTCTTCTAACCACTACAATGCTGCGGATTGGGTTTTTTGTGAACGTGGCAGGAGGAAGTCGGATGGCATGGTTGGTACCTTGCACTCACCAACGCCGGTCCCGTCAATAGTCGCCTCCCACTTTCTTCTGGCCCCATTTCAATGCTGCAGAGAGTGTGTGTTTCTTGTTTTTAACGTGAAATCTCACGGTTTCGACAGGAGGAGGTTCGATCGCATGGTACCTTGCTTGACGTTATCACGCGCAGGCTTCAAGAGCGCACTCAGGCCAGATATGTGCGAAAGGGTTGATAAGAGACGTCACAAGGAATTTCAGCAGGGCAAATAAACTGGATCTCTTCTTTTTTGGGAAAATTTTGATTCACGGTTGTAGGGAAACTGACTCAGCGTGCGAGTGAATTTGGGAGTCGTACAGTAATTTCGATTATTCTATTCGCGCCTGCTCGTGATCCTCACGTCAAACTCTCTTTTCTTATCAACCATCCTTCCTCCTTTCCAACTGTTCCCTCTCCGCGCCAGAGTTTTTTCTCCACGGTTCCATCCGTCTTCCTCTTTCTATTGTGGTTCGTTCTTGGTCTCGACTTAAAGAATGGTCGAAGACACCTCTCAGCCAATCCCATCATGTTGTCGGGAATAATGATTCCTTAGAATGAAGCACGGCTAGTCGACGACCATCAGTATGGTAATTTAGGAGACAAGGAAAGAAAAAAAGAAAAAATCATTACCGATTCACTATCATTGCCCACCTTAACCGCCATCTCCGCTACCAAAGGCGCCCATCGCCGTAAAGGCCCCTTCGCATTCCTCCGCCTGCGGGTGATATTTAGTATTTGCTGACCTCCTACTACCATCTTCTTCTTCCCAACGTCCGCCTGCGGGTGATATTTGTTTGCTGACCTCCTAGTACCATCTTCTTCCCAACGCAACGTTATCCTCACCGAGGACGGGAAGATGGGTGGTGCGTTAGGCGGGCCGCAAGGCAGGGTCATGTGGTCAGCCCCCTGAGGATGATCGGAGCGCAGCCGATCGAAACGCGTCGGGGAATGTGCGCGTGAGCTGAGATGAGTACGCGAGGCTTTGTATTAACGAACTTTCGAAGCGTGTACGAAAGGCAGTTGGCCACTGTTTCCATTACTCCATTCTTCTTCTCCTTCTTCTTCTTCTTCTTTTTCTTCTTCTTCTGCTGCTGCTGCTGCTGCTGCTGCTGCTTTTTCTGCTTCTGCTTCTGCTTCTGCTTCTGCTTCTGCTTCTGCTGCTTTCTTTTCCAGCTTCTTCGCCCTTGCTCCCAAATTTCAAGAGCCGTTTTTTTTCCAGGCGACCATCGGAGGAGAGCGCATCAGAAACTAAGTTCAACGTGAAGAGCGCAGTGCGACTTCACAGAGTTGCGAGACAGATCGCACCGGATGCACGTCCTCGCGCTTATTCTGCTTCTGCTGCTTCTGCTTTAGCTTCTTCAGCTTCTTCTTCATTGCTCCCCAATTTCAAGAGCCCGTTTCTTTTCCAGGCGGCCATCGGAGGAGAGCGCATCAGAAACTAAGTTCAACGTGAAGAGTGCAGTGCGACTTCACAGAGTTGCGAGACAGATCGCACCGGATGCACGTACTCGCGCACAGAGTTGTCATCTCGGTGAGATCGCCGATCCATTCCCTCTGACATCGGTTCCACTCCTGGGTCAATCATAAAATAAAAAACACTCCCCAAACCACCGAACAAATCGTTCGTCGACAAACCGCAGAATAAAGCGTTGGGGAAGGGAACGGGCGGAATGTTCGCGCGCGCGCGCACGCTCGTGTGTGGTGTGCGTATGTGGGTGAGGTGTAAAATGGCAAATGTCGGCAGATTTGACACGATTCGAAGGGATTGATAACCTCCATCGGCTCTCGGTAGCTAAAAGAGTCGATTTCCAATCGCATCCGTTGTTCATTCATTCATTCATTCATTAGTTAATTCATTAGTTAATTCATTCATTGGCTGCTGGTCATCTCTCCCCCCATTCGCTCATTGACTAGGCCACCCGTTCAGAATCTCACCTGCCAGGGCCTTTTTTCCCCTTTCCACTTTTCTCTCCGTCCACTCTGTATTAGTTTCGCATGTTCATTCCTCCATTTACTGGCTTTGCTATCTATGACAATATATTATTAATAGACTCCTCGGTGCGTGCGGATCCAATTTCCCGCACTTCAGCGAAGCTACTTAGCCACAGGTAACTAACTCGTCGCCGTGTCCGTCCTTTTTTGCGACTCCTTCCCTTCCGTTTCGTCGAGGTTTCGATCTTTTCTTGCACGTTTCCACCTACCTTTTTGAGAGTCCTCAGCTCCGCTCCCTTTCCTCCCGTCATCCACGTCCCTTACTAACCCCTTTTACGTTTTCTCTTTTCTTTTTTAAGCTAGCAAAAGGTTGGACCCGTTCTCCACTTGGACGTGTCATCCTTGTTCAAGGAGAATGCCAACACGTAATAACCTTCTCTGTACCGTTCCAATTTCCGTACCACTCACGCGTCCATTTCGCTTCCCCCACGGATGTGACGCACAACTCCATTCCATGTCATTCATCGAAAATCGAGCAGCAATTCCTTACACTCGTTACTTCCACCAAAAAATCCACCCTGTCATTCATCGAAAATCGAGCAGCATTCCATAGCCAACCACTCCTTCACGTCGGTGCATTCATTCATTCATTCGTTCATTCGTTCATCCATTCATTCATTCATTCATTCATTCATTCGTTCATCCATTCATCCATTCATTCATTCATTGATTCGTTCGTTCGTTCGAGAACAGATAACCAAAAGGAACAAAAAAAGAAATAGAACAGATAACCAAAAGGAACAGAGAAAGAAATAGAACAGATAACCAAAAGGAACAAAAAAAGAAATGGTCGTCGTGAGTAAAAAGGCCGTCAGCCAGCCAGTGAGCCGGCCAATCGTTAGTCGTACGCTGGTTTTATTGCTGTCGCCGCTCTCCTTGTCGGGAATCAAGATGCTAGCAAGGACAAAGCAATCACTCACTCACCGATCTCGGCCGCGAATTGCTGTGTCAACAACCTTCTTAATGGCGCCTCCGCCCACTCCTCCCGACCCGTTCACACCGCCGTTCATGCCGTTGCTGACGGCACCCCCGTTCGTGAACCCGCTCACTTCGCCACCAGCTCCTGCTGCTGCTCCTCCTCCTCCTCCTCCTCCTCCTCCTCCTCCTCCTCCTAGCGACGCAGATTTCCGCAGGATTCCATTGGACTGTTGCGCCTGCTGTTGTTGCTGTAGCAGAGGCTTCTTGGACGTCATACTCCGCTTTCCAAATCCATTGGCCGACATGACGCCGCTGCCCGGCGAACCAGCGGCGGCCTGGGCGCTCATATCGTCTGTGTGGACACACGAAAAAACATAAACAGAAAAACAAACACCAGCACCACCACGTAGACGGGTGGAGCATAAACAAATTAGACCCAATGGCATGGAATGCGGGCCGAGGCACGGGGCTGAATGAATCCGGGACTCGCTACGGGTGGAGATTACAAGTAACCTGCATGAGGAGATGGAGATGGAGATGGAGACGGAGATGGAGATGGAGATGGACATAAACGTGGCGGAGGGTGAGACGGGAGAAGGGAAATTCAGTGGTACACAAGGGGAAGATAAGATTGCAGACGCGGGATGTCGCGACTGACAGATGGTGTGCACTCTGGCTCTGAAACCTGAGCAGCTGC